GAGTATCATAATAATTTTTTTTCCCCACACAGAAATCACTTCTACCAGTTTGGGGAGATCCGGACGATAACGGTGGTGCAGAGGCAGCAATGTGCTTTCATCCAGTTTGCCACCAGACAAGCTGCAGAGGTGGCTGCTGAGAAATCCTTCAACAAACTCATTGTCAACGGCCGCAGGCTCAACGTCAAATGGGGAAGGTGAGTGTGGGGAGAGGAGGCCTGGAGGATCCACAAGCTTTTTCTCTCAGTTTGCACAGCTTTGATTATGCAGGAGTAGGTACTTGTTTGGTAAATAGTTGGGGTCCTCTTGCGCTTGTTTTTGTTTCTCCAATGGGATCTGGGTTGTCCTAGTCCATCTGTAAGTACTGTTTGCTAACTTGGTACCATCTGCCTGATATTCTGTGAGTTTTTTGTCTTTGGCCTGAAGAATTTGATCTGGAATAGGTAACGTGAAACTACTGTGGTACAAATATCTTCTTATCCTGCTTTTTCTCATCTTTGTTCTCAAAATTTTGTCTGTTTTTCAGGTCCCAGGCAGCAAGAGGAAAAGAAAAGGACAAGGAAGGCACTACAGAATCTGGGATAAAGTTGGAGCCAGTTCCAGGACTTCCTGGAGGTAAGGGAGTTGTATTTGTCTCTGAAACAATTAATGCTGACCCACTTCCATGAGTGAGGCTGCTGTGAAACTTCTGGGAGCAGTGACAGTTCAGGATGGTAGAGGCAGTGGTGAGGTCAGAGCAGTTACAGTAGTTTGTTGCCGATCCAGTTGGGATAGGAGGTGAGCTTTGTCTAGGAGCAAATCCTTGATGAAAAGAGAGTTCTTTAYGTGATGAGTGAAAAGTTAAAGCTGAATTCAACCTACTTAGGTCAGAGATACTGGCAACGCAGGCTTTTAAAAGTTTTCTTAGTCCACTGAGCACTGCATGRTGGAAAAAAAAGCTGGTTTCTGATGAAGGAAATTGGTGACTGGGGTTTCAGGGCAGTTCTGCTTCTCACTCGAGTTCATACATGCAATAGTAACAGCAGTTTTCCCTTGTGAAAGCACAGATTGTGCCCCCTTTCTGAACACAGACACCTCTGCCTTGCCTGAGAGGTTTTGCATAACCACGTGTACTTTTTCTGCAGCTCTCCCTCCTCCTCCAGCTGCAGAAGAGGAGGCTTCTGCAAATTACTTCAATCTACCTCCAAGTGGCCCTTCAGCCGTGGTGAACATTGCCCTGCCACCTCCTCCTGGCATCGCTCCACCTCCACCTCCAGGTATTCGTGTTTCCCTCTCAAGTGGGGGTGTGAAATTCAGTGTTAGACAGTCTCTTCCTCCTTGCCTGGCYGTGCTGCAGCACTGATGCATGCCCTGAGCTGATTTTCCTCATCCCTGATCATGCAGTRTAAACGGATGATCTAAACTGAGCTGTCAGCACAGTTTAATTAARCTGAGCTGCCTGTTGTGGTTGGTATTTGCTTGCAAATACCCAGGCATGCTGGAGATCCCTGTTACTGGTACTGAGACCTACTCAGTGCTTTTGCTGGCTTTGTAAATGCCACATTAACCCAAAYTTCAAAGGGTAATTCTCCAGCTGGTTGAATGGCAGCTTGTCTTTGGCTCTCTATATATCTATCCAGAGATGCTTTTGGACTCTTGTGGATGTATTTGCTCTGCTCTATGATCGAGTAGAAAACATATAGCTGGGTGTTACAGACACCTGCCCAGTCCCCCCACCAGCTTTTATCTAGGAGTAAGGATGTGTGTTGGGTAAGGATTGCCCCCAGCTGTACTGAAAAGAGGGGCAGGAGTTTGGGGAGAGGGGAGATGTGCACATTTGTGAGGCACAGCTGTCAGCCAGCTGTGGTGTCAGTACTTTGAAGCAGCAGTACACACGCATCGGGTTTTCTGAAGCTGCCAACTTTGTTTCTGCAGGTTTTGGACCACACATGTTCCACGCCATGGGGCCCCCACCTCCCTTCATGAGAGCTCCAGGCCCCATCCACTACCCATCCCAGGATCCCCAGAGGATGGGTGCCCACGCAGGAAAGCACAGCAGCCCCTAGCACGTCCTGCCACCCTCATCCTTGAAGTACATGTTATTTTTTAGTTCCCATGGTAGCACCATATGTTGAGCTGTGGGTGAGCTAGAGACGCCTTATTTCCCTGCTTGCAGCCACAGGGCAAGCTGAGCTCCRTGTCTCCACTTATAATCGGGTTCTTGATACGTCCCAGGTCTTTCTTCTGGTGGGGAGGGGTGGGTGGGTGACAGAGRGAAGGGCTGTCGGGAGTCTGTGGGTCTGGGGTACCAGAATTACAGTGTTATCTGTGTATCCCATTGGCACACTTTTGAAATAAACTTCTGGAAAAAATCAAACCCAAATTCTTTCATTTGATATCCTCAGTCAGAACATTGTGGACTTACAGAGAGTCTTCTCTGTAAGGTAGCTAATCATGTATTATTCTAATGAGGTATTAAACCAGGATTGAATAAGAATTGAAAAACAAGCTCATCAGACCTGCCAAACCCCTGGCTTGGCCTTGCCACCGCAAAGAATTTTCCTCCTCCTTTTTCCTGACTTCTTGAATTAAAAAAATAAAGACAAGACAACAAAGCCCTTTTTAGTACATCACTTCTAATCCTGCACATCCTGAGCAAGACAAATGCTGGGTCAAGTGAGCACCCCTGAGGCAGTGCAGGCATGACGTGGAGTGACAGGTCAGGAGTTGCCTCATTCAGCCAGGTGACAGCCCCTTCGGTGGCCCCAGAGCCTGGGCTTGTGCTGCCTGCAGCTGCAGGGCAGGATGCAGCTGCAAGCTGCTCTCGGTGAGATTTAGGATTCTCAAGGCCTGTGAAACAATGTCCCCTTAAGCTGTGGCACGGGTCCCACTTCATCCTGCTTTGATAAGATGTGAAACTTTTCTTTCTCTGCTCTAAGGGTAGTGCTTGCCTGGGAGTGACTGCATCCTGCCTGGAGCCTGCTGCTGCGTGAGGTCTGTGTATGCACGGGTGGAGGATTTTAGGATTATCTCCATATTTAGTTGCTTTCATACAATGGATCTGTGGATGTCTTCATAACATGATGGGGCCTGTTCTGAAGCTTCATTTGCTTAGTTTTTTAAAAGTACATAAAAATGTTTGAATTTTTCAACACCATGTTTAGACCCAGCTTCCTGGAATGCAGTGTATGAGGACTTGGTCTGATTTTTATGTGGCTGCTACCACAGCCAAGATGCTGCATGGGCAAGGACAAGCACGTCTGCTCTTAGTTTGATGTGCTGTCCTGTACAATGCCACTGGGTTCTGTGATGTCAGCATTGTGTGCTAGGCTGGGGTAGCACTTGGGGCACCACTACCTGGCTTTCTCTGGAGAGAGAGCTGGGCTTTGGGTGTGCGTGATTGGTTCAGCTTTTGTCAGGGAAGAGCCATCCCAGGGCAGTGTTGGACAGCAGAGGCTGCTGGTGGTTGGGAGAGGGCTGTGGCATTTGCCACAGTTCTGGCCTAGTCTGCACAGCCAGGATCTGTGAATGCTGTGACAGATTTGGAATGCAAGAGGCTTCACATCATCCCAATTTATTTATTATTTCCAGCCAGTTACCCAAGGGTGCACAGGTTCTGCAGCTGATGGACAAAGAGGAGGAAAATGGAATTGGAACAGGGCAGCAGTTCAGCATCACAGATTTATTGTTTCTAAGGAACAAACCTTTTTTCTTTCCATTTGCTTGCCCCCTCCTGYTTCTGTGGGAAACAGAGCAATGAAAGCTTCCCACCTGAATGATGTGTTGTGGCAGCAGAATCCCTGCATGGGGGTTGCTCCGCACAGCATTACAAACTACATAAATGAAGCAGCTGCTAACTGCATTTGTACCACAACATTTACTTGCCCCATTTAACCACGGTGTGGAAAAAGGAACTTTTATCCTGGTGCTTTTGGGAGTATAAGGGTAACATTAAGAACCTGACAAAAGCAATTGGAGGAAGCCTGTGTTGAGTCAGATTTTTSTAAGTGGGGTTCCCCAGATGTTCCAATGACTGTAGGCTGTTGTTAGCTGCATGTCCCACTGTGTGTCACTGCTGAAAACGTTGTTGGATCCTCACTGCTCATTTTCACATTCCCAGGGAAGCCCATGCTTGCTCTGGAGGCACAACTATGCTGCTTTTCCTTCCCACTGGTGTTGAAGTTACCAGAAYACCCTGGCAGCATCCTCACACTGGTGTGTTTCTGCAGGGCAGTGGGTCCAGGCAGCGCCTGATCCTTGACCAACTACATGTAGCAAATCTGGTTTAAGTCACTCAAAAGGCCTAGATTAGATGTTCAAGCAAGGCATGCAAATAGCAGTAGGAAGGGGAAAATAGCTGCCAAATGCTAGCCAGTAGCTTGTGGAAAACAGGGCGCAAATTTCCAGTTCTCAGCATTCCTCTCCCCTCTATCCTGGCTGTGCTGGTAAACAGGTAGATTCCCACTCCTTCATTTGTTTTTGTTGTCCAGCCAAGCCCAAGGCAGCTGCTTTTAACATGCCAATGCCTCCAGTAACTTGTTTTGCTGCTGCTCTTCCATTATCACCTCCTCTTGGCATCCTGACTGGAATGACAGATGCAGAGTTGTCCTGAAGATGGAATTTCTCTGCAAAAGCACCAGCTGTCCGAGCAGGTCTCACGTGTCAGTGAAGATGCAGTGAGGCAGCTTGGTGTGYTGCAGCTGGCAGGGCTGCCATTTTCCATGAGGCAGAGAAGAGGACAGGCTGTATGGGATGTTTTGGACAGGAGTTTGCGGGGATCTGCTGGATTAACTGCGAGGACTTGGCTTGGCACTGACTGCCCTTGTGACAATGTGTGCTGCAAGGGGAGTTCAGAATGGTCCCACACTTAAGCTCATTCAAACCCTGTTCAAAGATGACACGAGCCCACCAGCTGAGCTTTCCTGAAGGATACCTGCCCTCCCTCCCCTCCCCTCCCCTCCCCTGCGAGTGTGTGCCAGCCCAGCGAGGAACCATCCCTGGCCTGGGGAAGGGAGCGCACGTGCTACAGCTCTTCGCTCTCCGGCAGGATCCGCACCCAGCCTTGGGCCACCCTGTTGAAGTTGGGCCTGTGGGCAATCACCTCCAGCACACTCAGGTTATCCAGCTCCACAGTGGGCAAAGAGAACAGCTCCCCAACCATGGCCCTGTCAAACGGGGCCGGAGTCCTGCGGCACAAGGAGAAGCGTGTTTGGTCACAGGGGAGGTTGGGTGTGTTGGGAAGGTGTTAGAAAAAGGAATATGCATGTGCTGAGTCCAGCACAATGTAGCAATGCCTGTAACAAATGACAACCCTCCTCTTCCTCCCCAGGGTGCTGTTAGGGCCCTGCCAGCCCAGCCAGGTGGTTCTTTGGTACAGAGCCCACCTCAGCTCGAGCTTTGGCAAGCTGGAGAGCACCGTTTGGTGCCYGGGTATCAGTGAAAGCGTCCTGCACTTGCAAGGGCTTAGATTCAGACAGACACCAGTGACAGTGACAAGCCCCTGGTCTTGAAAGTGCCTCATCCACAGCTCCTGTGTCCTGCAGAGGGCCAAGGCTCACAGTGCTGCTCTGAATCACTCCAGCACATGCAGCTTTCTTGGCCTTGGCTCCATCCCACCTTTTGGGACAGCTCTTCTTGAGCAATGACTAATGGGAGAGCAGTGTGGGGGCAAAAGCTGTCATCCCTTTCTGGAGAAATGTGGAAAGRGACTGAAGAAAAGTGTGCCAGCCCCCAAAAAGTCAAGAATGTTGGTTTTGGAGCAGAACATGGAGACTGAGCTATCAGTGAGGCAAAACTGGGAATGTTTGCTTTGGGAAGCACTGCCAGAACATGAGTAACGTGGCACTGTTTTGCAATAGAGGAGAAATAAGAGGGGCAAAGGCAAATGAAAGACATTTGCTCTAGGAACTTTCTTCAGGGAAAAGAGTCTTTGTCAAAGTTTGGTTCTCACTCTCTCTAAGGCAGGACACCTTAGCAGGGTGGCCCAAAGTTTTTGCGTCACAGTCTGAATGTTTAAAATTRGGAACAAATCAGCCTGCTTTAACACAGTTGCTGTGGAGGTGTGGATTTGCCATTGCTCTGTGACCCATGAGAGCTGTGCTGGTATTCAGTTAGCCTTCGGCAAGACCACTGGCTTTTCAATAGCCATTTTGTTCCAAAAARCTTGTTTTTCTGTGGTTTGGTATTTAAACTGAAAAGTGATTTAAAAGCCAGCAGCTTGGAAGATCATGAAAAGCCCAGTTAAAAGCCAGATTGGCTTTCTGAATCTTCCTGCCTTAGTGAAGAATTAGAGGAGGTGGCAAGAGGCTTGGAGTTAAATTAGCATCCATCTGTATTAAATTACAGTTGAAGACTTTAAATAGAAAGGCAGCGTGTGAGAGGGGAGAAATGGTACAGGGTAGAATATTATTCAGAAACATGCCCTTGYTTCTGTCCCTGTCCATAAATAAATCCCAAGGCAGGAATATGGCTAAATATTGAAAGAAAAGAGCCAAGTGTCTGCAGCAGCTYCTTGTTCTCCCCCTGCAGCACCTCCTCAAGCAGAGCCACATGGCAAAGCCCCAGGGCTGAGAGGGAGGAGAGCAGCAGTGGGGTGGTGGTGGCCAGGCTCATCTCTGCCCTTTAGGATGGCTTTTCCCACACMGAGGGATTGTGGTTCCCCACAGCCCCTTCTGCCAAGTGCTCAAAGCACAGCAGTTGTGTCCCCCACGCCTCAAATSCAGCCCCAGGGCAGGCAGAGAGGAGCTGCTGTTGGCATATGGCCTGCTGGGGAGCACTGCTGTGTCCCAGAGGGAAACTCCACTGGGAACTTGCCTGCTGGAAGGTGACTTTGGCCAGGCCACCAAGGCCAACGTAATTCCCTCCTCATGACAGAAGCTTTCAGCAAGGAGCACAGAGAGCACTCCTTTTGCTGATTCCCTGGGATGATGTTCAGCCTGAAAGTTCTGTTCTCATTATTCTACCATGAGCTGCTGGTGCTTTGGTACCACCASATCTCCATCTCCTGGGTCCCCATCAAGCACCTTTCCAGAAAGGAGATCTATCTTGGCAGTCTTTGCTCCAGGGTCCCAATCTTGACCCCCATGTAATTCAGAGGTGTGAGGAGGCATCAGCCATGCTCCATCAGAACAGTCACAGGGCTCAGAGCTTGCCAGGCTGAGCCACCAGAAAACCCCTGGTCTGGAGGCCTCAGCTCAAGCAGGTGTTTGGAAGGAATCTGGTGACCTCTTAGCACTCTGTGGGAAGATTAACCTTATACCCCCACTGCTTCCAGCAGCTGCTTGAATACCTTAATGAAATTAGGAAAGAGACTTGGCACTGACTGTGTCATTCCTCCAACCAGCCCAGAGATGAGCCCAGCAGGGAACAGGAGTGATTCCTTCCCCAGGACCATGTGCATAAGAATTGGTCCCCCCAGATTTCATCCCTGAGGTTCCCCAGTGAGATSAAGCTGCTCAAGGCTGTGCAGGCCCAGTGGTGGAGCTGGGAGGAGATCTGGGGGAGAGCTGCTGCAGGCCTGGACCTTTGCTGGGAGCCACAGAGGAGCTCCTGAGCAGGAAAAGAGCATGCTGAGCCCTTGCTGTGCCYCTGTGGTGTATGAAGAGGGTATGGGTTGTTGTGTTTGCCTGGCAGGATGTTCCTCGAGGCTGAAGAGCTTGGCCAAGGGCTGGCCAGACTGGTGGTGCCCATCCCTGTTACCTGTTGAAGCTCCTGAAGTCCCACGCAGGGGGTCTCATGGGCGGCTGGTTCTTGCCATAGATGGCATCCTCCATGTCCCCAAAGAGCTCCTGCCATGGGGACCGGTAKCCCTTGGGGATGGCGGTGGCATTGAACTTCTCATGAGGGATTTCTTTGAGGGGGCTCGAGTAGCCTGTGCAGGGGGAGAGACACTGTGGGCTGCTGGGGCCACAGCTGGGAACAGCCCGTCCTCTGCAAGGCTGTGGAAGGCCTGTTACTGGGGCCAGGAATGCATATTTATAACACAAATATATGTATGTGTATTTGTACATATAAAATCTCTGGAGGAGYGTGTTGGGCAGACCCCTCAGCAGGCAGCAGGTCGCTGCCTCCAGCCCTCTGTGCTGAGATCACAGCAGTTTGGGTTTGGGTGCAGGCAGCATTGACTTACCTGGGGCCAGGGCACTGGGGTTCAGGACTTTGCTCATGTGCAAGACCTTCTGTGACTTCTTGGGCACTTCTGGGGGACCACCCTGRGGCGATGCTGCCACGTGGAGCTCCGAGTGATAATTCTCCTGGCCCCCAGCATTCTCCCCTGCCTGTGGAGGGGAGAGTTAATGGGCACAGAGAGCTTCTTCTGCTGCATTTGGGACTCAGGAGGTGCTTGAAAGCACCTCAGAGCTTCTTCCATCTACTCACCATCTGTTCATTTGCCGTTCCTTCTGAATCACCTTTCCCGGTGTGGTGTGAGCCACCTGCCCCTTGCCCTGGGAGCTGCAGGAGACAATGAGAGGGGTTAGTGGGTGCAGAGAGGGATCAGCACCATCCCCCTCCTCTTTGGTGGATATTGAACCCCAACAGTAAGAGGGGTTAGTGGGTGCAGAGAGGGATCAGCACCATCCCCCTCCTCTTTGGTGGATATCAAACCCCATGTTTGCCCATCTCCATGCCCAGTCCACCAGGACATCTCTCCTCTCCCTTCATCTCTGCATAGCAATCAGCTGTGGCTGCCCTGTGGAGAGACCCCTGAGCCTGCCAGGAACTGCATCCCTGGAAAGGCTGCAAGAGCCATGGAAGGGCTGTCCTCAGACCCACCTGCCTGGAGCCACTGGGGTGCTCAAAGACAAAGCGCTGCATCCGCTTCTGGCGCTGCTGGAAGAGCCGCGAGCCGCGGTTGTTCCGCAGAGAGAGCTCCTCGATCATGATGTCCTGTGTCGTGCTCATCTTCTTGCCCAGGTCCAGCTGGGGCTCTGGAGAGGCTGGGAGGGCACAGCTACAGTTCAGGAGGCTGCAGTGCTGGGAAGCCCCAAGCCAGCACAGGCAGTGCATCCCCTCCTTGGGGTCCCTGTTGTGTGGCTGGGCCATTTGCCCACGCCGGGGACTGGCATTTCCTCGCTGTGAGGAATTGTCAGCAGTTAGCTCAGCTCCAGAGATTCAAACAGCCTTTCCCATTCTGTGCATGGATTGTTCCAGCAAAAGCAGGGCAAGTGGCCTCAACCAGAGCTGGTTCTGGCCCCAAGTCAGGGAGGGCAGCACTGCCCTGGGGCTGGTGACACCCCTGCACTCCCTTACCATCTTCAGGGCCCGGTCTCATGATGGCCATCACTTGCTGCYGTGCTCCTGGAGCAGCTCTGTGGAAGGGGGATGGATCTTGTCTGGCTGGAAGAGAGAGGCACTCTGGGAGTGACACCAAGCAGGGGAACATGTCAGCCCCAGCCATGGCCCAGAGAGATGCCAGGATTCAGCTGAGCATCTCCCCTGTTAGCAACATCCCCAAGCATCTCCCTCCACCACTCTGTCTCCTTCAACAGACATATGAAATGTTCAAATCATGCTGCCTTTCAGCCCCTGGCTGTCATTCTTCCTCTCTGCCTTTCTTTCGGGCAGAAAACATCCTCACCTCTGTCTTTGCCCACAAAGAGCTGCTGTCCTTGTGCCCCAAGTGCCCTGGGAGCAGCAGCTGCTGGCCGAGTGGGGGCCCTGGCTGTCACCCCCAGCACCTCCGCCTTAGCAGAGCTATTTTCAGCCACTGGCCCCGAGCGGTGTAGGAGCTGCAGCCCTGAACCTGCAGGGAGCTGGTGAGCCCAGCCAGCAGCAAAAAGGGTCATGGGACCACCTGGCTGAGTTGGTCCATTATGGAKAGGCAGCTGGAAACAGCCCCAGCTGAACCCCCCGAGCTGCCCACCTGCAGCAGAGCCCTCCTGTGCTGCTGGGGCACTCGGCAATTCTGTTTGGTGCATCTGGCATCCCTCAGCTCAGGCTGRTGCTGGGCAGCTTCCCCTAAAGACCCTACAATGCTGGGGTCACCATGGGGCTGGGGTGCCTGGCACAGAGCTCCCTGCCTGCTCTGAGCTCAGCATTAACCATCCACACACGAGCCAGAGGATCTGCACCCCATCCTTCCCTCCGCCCCGCTCCAGGGAGGCTGTACCCCGACACCCACAGCAGTCACTGGTGTCCCCTTTGCCAAGGACATCCCCCAGCCCTGTGCACCCATCCACCCACCCACCCGCTGACCCCTGTGGGACCTCACCTTCCCTACCTGCCCAGGGGATACGCTGGATGCTGGGGACTGAAGATGCTGCTCCTGCTGCCCTGGGGATGAGGCCCAATCCAAGCTGCAGCCACCAGCACTCGGTGGCCCCTGYTGGCCCTTCACGGCACCCCCAGGCTCCTGCTGCTTGCCCCAACCTGTCCCGGGCTCCAGTCCCAATGCCAAGGTCCAGCCACGGGACACAAGTTATTTCTGGCTGAGAAAGGGGGCGGAGCAGGGCTGTGACCCTTGGGGAC